CATGTATTCATGAATACAATAGCAAAAAGTGCTTAAAATCAGGACAGTACAGTTGTACGCGCATGTATTCACATGTATTCGCGCAGCTGTATTCATGAATACGGTAGCAAAAAGCGCCTAAAATCATGGCAATCCAGCTGCACGTGCATGTATTCACATGTATTCGCGTCATGTATTCATGAATACAGTAACGACAACCACCTTAAAAATAGGTATGTCCAGCTGTCTAAGATAGAGGAAAAACATAAATAGTGTATTTCATGCCTCAATGATAGTATATACAATAAATATTTATTTTGCTATAAAATATAAAAGGTAACAATAGAAAATAATATTTTAAAATAATTTAATTTATAATAAATATGGTTTATACATTTGCTATAGGAGATAAAATTTCCTTTTGCAAATGGCGCCCTTATTTTTAGTTCCTTTCAACTAGAATTTTGATTCTCTCTTGCATTGGACTCTTCACTTTAATACTTATAAAGTGGCCCAATTATCTTTATAGGGCCATTGGTCCCGAGACCAAGCATAGCCTAATATCCCTTTCTTCGGCTACATAGTCAACATCCCCTCCCTTACCCTAAAAACATCTTCCTCTATCCCATAAACACCCTCCCCTCAAAAAATATACTCTTTTAATCTCAATTTATGCGATACTATTTTTTTATTAGTTTATTTAAAAAATAATACTCTAGATCACTGATGCAACGACCACTGAAGGACTGAAGAATCTCATTATAATCTGCTTTTCAATTAGTAATTGAGCGACCATTAGATCCGTACTTGTGAATTTCTTACCTTATACGGCTTAGCAATTTTATATTTGTAAATAATTTAGCTTTATACTTTTTATTTAATCTTTGGTGAAAATGTTTTATAGCCACACAAATATTATAACGTGTTTAAGGCAACAGATTTTAAAATTTTATGTTTTTTCTTAAAACTCCTTTTCCAATCAAATCATGTCACATCGAAAAAGATGAGTACTAGCTTATTGGTTAGTTTTCACTTTAAATTCCATTACTAATAACCATTTTCATATTTAAAAACAATGTTCTTTTGGGGGTATAAGAGGCCAGGGGTAAGACTTTAGAGGGAAAACAAGTGGAGTGTTACTCATGACTTCTCAGTTACACGAACTGATAATTCTATGTATGACTTTTAGAATTATTATATTGCTGTAGTTTTTTGACTTAATTGGTACTATCCGCAGTCAGAATAATGAACTTGACAAAAATATTCCAAAAGGATTAAAAGGACATATTTCTTTGTCAAATAAGATTATGTGAAGCAAATAAACCACAGTAGTAGTCAAACAGCATAAATTTGATTTCATGAAACTAACGCAAGAAAAAAGCGGATGTCTTTTTTGACAATTATTAACGGTTGACTGATTTTTCCAGGAAAAAAAGGTGTGAACATATTTATTTAACCAAAGGACTAGTCTAAAAGTTGTTGAGATTTTTTTCGTCAATTTCCTTTTTTCCAAGACGTTGTAATTTTCGATACTCATGCCTTTGTTAATTTCCCAAGTTGACTCCAAAAAAGCTGCAGAATTCTATTTATATTCATGACATGCTTGGTAGGAAAATTTTATTTTGTGTCTCATACAATTGACATTAGTTGTATGAGACTCCTTTTTGTCTTACAAATCTGTGGACCCAGATTTCTGTGGACCCATAAGTGTAAAATTGGGGTCCACAAATCTGTGAGACAAAAAAGGAGCCTCATACAACTAGTGTCGATTGGATGAGACACAAAATAAAACTTCTCTGTTTGGTACAAGCTGCAGAATGCTTGTGACATGATTGATACTCTTGCACTTAAATTGCGATCATTAGACTATAAATATAATTCCAAAATAAAATTACACTTTCTTTCAACCCTTATGTTATTAATATAGAAATACTTTAAGTTTTGAGAAATTACTCTAGAGGTTCATTTGTATTTTCCTCCTAAATCTATTGTCTCCTTTGAAACTTATCTTAAAAAGATATACCTTGTTTTTCTTTTTCTTTATGTTTAAATTTTGATTGGGTCAATATTGGGCCAGACGAAGTAAATAAAAAACGTAAAAAGAGAATGAAATCTAGTGTAGGACCAATATTTTGTTTTTATTTTGTCTTCCCCTTTTGTTTTTGTCTCTTTATTGAATATTGTGTAGAAGGGCCAAAGTACAATAGACCTAACTAATCTTGTACGACTAGCAAACTTTTCTAATGGGAGAGTTCTTCACTTGACCACAACAAAAGAGCGAAGAAAAGAAAAAAAAAATTAGTCACCAATAATTATATTATTTAAAGTACAAACAGCATAGATCATGAGGCATTTCAGTGCTGAAAAATGCTATGAAAACTTTAATTATATTAACTAAGTTATATATAGTATAAGAATCCAACCTTGCGATTTGAATATTTGAGTCCCACTTTATGTATTGAGCATGCCTATGAAAGAATAAGAGGGGCGAATTGTTGACTTTTTTAAAATTATGAAACTTTAGCCGACTAGTTTACTAGTTAGTTGTCCGTGATTTAAGTGAATAGGTGAATTATGATTGAAGAAGAAAAGTAAATGACGCAGTAATGTTTTTATATTGATCGGATTCAATGTGAATCATAATTCAATCTCTTTGGCTGCAAAAGAGTTCTCTCTTCAAAACTCCTTGATGTTTTAAGAACGATTTATTAATGAAATTCTTACTCACTCATCAACTAATTTCTTATGCAACTTAGACGCTCAAATCTTTTGATACAATGCCTTACCAATAATTTTCTCTCTCTCTATTATATAATAAGTCAGATTGAGTTACAATATTTACTAAGAGTAGGAAAAAAAAAGCTTGAAGTTGGTCAGTCAAAAGTATAAGTTCTTCTTTTTCGTCTTCTACTATATATACAGCTTGAGCAGTGGTCTGTTTTGATTCTTGATTGGTACATATCTTGATGTTTATTCATAAAATAGTACAATTGAATTTGGAACGTAGTTTATAGACACGTGAATTAAATTGATCCAAAAATATAAAGCAACAAAGAACAAATGTAAATTAATTAAGAATACTTCAAAAAAATACAAGCCTGCATGTGAAGTGAGCTTCTCTGGAAGCAAGAACAAGAACAAAGTATTGTGCAAAAAGGATGTTAATAAAAAGCTAGAGTAAGTTTAACCTTTTTTCATACATTTTGTGCCTACAATGAGTATAAATTCCTCTATTTATAGCTAAATTCGGAGAGACAAGATTCCTAAATCAAGCTTTTCTTTAATATGAACCTCTCTTGATAGTTGCATAAGGTTGAGTATAAATGCAAAGATTCTTTGTAATGACCACTCCTTGAATGCTGCATTTTCAACTGATATCTCGCTTTCAAACTTTTATCTCCAGTTCCAATATCTTCAGAACTCACAGAACACTGGTCACATGCTCGTACGTTGCCAGCTATTTGCCGCCTCATACCTTACATGTCTTTACTGACACGTGGCAACTTGACGAATGTTTGCCTGCCATTCATCAATTTTTACCCCATATAGATAGTACTCCTATTTTTTGATGACTAAACTAGATGTTATCGGAAAGTAGATAAGATTCTTTTTCTTGGCGAAAAAGTTCGTAAATGATTTCTGACACTTGAAAGGATGCACGTCTCCTTACATTTAATGAGCCGAACATGTTTATCTATAACGACCCGGTCGATTATTTTTATGTATTGTAGCCCCGCTCCCTTATTTATTGCCTCTTCTATGTTCAGTTGTTGTTATGTGACATGCCATGATGGTTGGATTGATTTTTGGAAGAGTTTCAGAGTGAATTGAGACACTTAGTCCCAAGGTTGAAAGCTTAAGTTGAAAGAGTTGACCGGAATTTGACTTTTGTATAGACGACTTCGGAATGCTATTTTGATGATTTTAATAGCAACGTATGGTGATTTACTTAGGTGTATGTTCGAATATTGATCTGGGGTTCATAGGTTGATTTGATATTTTTTGGCGAAAGTTGAAAAGTTGAAGGATTGAAAAGTTGAGAGGTTTGACCGAGAGTTGACTTTATTGATATCAGGTGCGGATATTTTGTTCTGAGAGTTGTAATAGGTCCGTTGTGTCATTTGGGACTAGTGTACAAAATTTGAGATCATTTGGAGTTGATTTGATATGATTCGGCATGAGTTTTAGAAGTCAGAAGTTCATTAGTTTTATTAGGCTTGAATTTGGGTGTGATTCGTAATTTTGATGTTTTTTTAATGTATCTCACTTATTGGATTACACTGGATTTATTGTTGTTGTTGCTATTGTTTGATGTGATTTGAGGCTTCGAGTAAGTTCGTATTGTATGTTAGGACTTGTTGATATGTTTGGATGGGGTCCCGGGGCCCTCAGGTGTGATTCAGGTGATTGGCGGATCATTTTTGGACTTTGAAGGATAGCTGAAGCTTGGGAGTTTTGGTGCAGTCACACCCGCGAAGGATTTACCGCAGGTGCGACGCCGCAAAAACGGCATATGGACCATAGGTGCAGATAAGGATGGGCTAGGCCGAGTCCGCAGGTGCTGGCGGGTATCCGCAGATGTGAGTCCGCCAAAGTGGAAGATGGTCGTACACTACAAAAAAAACAACAATTAGCGACGGATTGGCTACGGAATAAAAGTTTCATTGCAAAAAAAGCAAAAAAAAATAGTTAGCATCTAATATAGCGACGAAATAGCGACAAAATCGAAAGTTGTCGCTAATTGTTGGTGCTAAATATTGGCGCCCTCAATTTACCTACGGATTTAGCGATAAAAGCTGAGCGACAAAATTTATTTTACTTCAGCGACGGATTTAGCAACGGAAAATCCGTCGCTAGCCTTAATTTTTTTATTAAAATATTTTAAAACTCCTTGCTGCGGAAATTTTCGTCGATAATGTATTTTTTAATAAACAGTAATATTATTGTTAGCGACGGAACCCTATCCATAGCTAAATCCATCGCTGAAGACAACTTTATTATTTTTCCTAGGGCACAAATTTGGTAAAAATATCAGTCTCTTCTAAAACAGCAGAAACACACGAGTGAGCAAAACTAGGCGGCTGAGGGCAAAATCAGTAGAAGACACACGATGAGGGTTTTCAAGAACAAGAACAAAAATCATTAGCCAATGTGAATCTAAGGTTTGTAGATGGCTTTATTTCTTCTTCAATAAGCTTAGCACTAATCTTTTGTTATCATTTGTGATAAAAATCAGATTTATTTGAAACTAGTATCTCTTTGGGAGATTTATTTATATAGCTTAGCAAAATTTGTATTTTGGGACTTTTTTGTTGAATTGATTTCATGTCTTTGATTGTTACTTTATGAAACTTTATAAGAATCAGATTTTGGGTTATTCTTAACTTTAGATGTGATAAAATTAAAACTTCAAGTGAACACTGGTATTTTGTTGGAGTTTTATATTACAGTTATTGGAGTATTGTAGCTTAGAAAATATTATGTTTTCGATTTTTGTTGGAAAGATTTTTGTCATCTGATGTGGTTTCATCCTTTTGGTTGTTTCTTTATATCATGAAAGCTTATAACAATCCGATTTTTGTGTCAATTTTGACACGAAAATGGCTCTATAGACCGCCATCTTCGTGAATTTAAAGGTTTCGAGAATTTTTTGGTAGATTCCTTTGGTAGTTTAATTAATCTTCTTCTGCTTATCTTCTTAATTTTTTGTCCAAATCTACAAAAAAATTCTTTACATAGCTTTAAACAAATTTCGTATTAGAAATTTAATTTGTATTTTTTGTTTCATAGGGAGAGAAAAATCAATTGGGAGATAAACTGGGTAAGGTATTTCAAGAACAAGCGCAAAAATTAGTAGCCAACGTAAATCTAAAGTTTGTAGATGGCTTTGTTTCTTCTTCTCTTTCTTATGCTTAGTACTAATTTTGGGTACCAAAATAGGTAAGCCACCAATTTGTGTATATTATCAAGTATATTTGTCTAATAGATGTTTTGTTTAATATATGAAACTAACAGATTCTTTTGGTGGCCTAATTAATCTTCTCTTGCTTGTCTTCTTAATTTTTTGCCCAGATCTACAAAAAATTTCTTCACACAGCTTTTGATAAATTTTGTATTAGAAATTTAATTTATGTTTTTTGTTTCATAGGGTGCTTTCACCGCTTGTGATGATATGTGAAGCTCTATTTCTTCTCAATTAACATCGTCGTCGCTTGTACGAGTAGTTAAATCAAGTTTAGGTAAACTCTCTCTACTTCTATCTCTCCCCTCTCTCTGTGTGTATATGTTTCTCTATATGTATCTAGAGCTCTCTCTGTGCGACCAGTTCTAGGTGAGTAGCCAGTCAGTCTATTATTGAAGAATGTGACGCCCAGCTGATGTTTCTCTGCACCTACCTTCATGTTTATTTACAACATTGTTATGGTGCTCATTCCGTTGGAACTTTCATGTCTAATTGGTTGTTCTGTTTTTTACAGGGACCAAGTAAATTTATCTTATTTTGTATGTCCTTAAAAATATATTTACCATATTTCCTTTCAAGGTAGTAGCATTGATTGAAATGTTTGGAAATCTGTAGTGGTACACATCTTTATTTTTCTTCTTCCACATAAAAGGAGAATATACTATGCTAATGTGTTTACTACTTTGCTTTGATTGAGTTTCTCTTAGCTGAATTCTAGTTTGTGTTTGCCAATAACTTGTTAGAGGAAAAAACCTGGTGGTCAAGGTTGATTGATTAATTATTTTAAAGTATCTTGCAATTAAGTATGTGTGATTTTTTTACTTTAAAAAAAGAGGGTTGGGTGGTGTTTGTTTAAGTACTACTACTTATTAAAAAATATTAGTATTTTAAACTTGAACAAGATGTAGTAATTTATTTGACCTCCGGAGAAAGACGATATTCCTTATTGAATACCAGAGAATATAGGGGTTTCACTTGTAAATATATGTGAAAAATTAAGAAGAAGTTGTAGATCTATCACTCTGCACATACTACCTTATCACTAGTTATCTTTCTGCTTATTCTAATAACCGATTGCTATTATATATTCTGTACTACTACATGTTTCCTTTGTGCTTCTTTCTCATGTTCCTTAGGTAGAATTTTATTAAGCTTTATTCTGTTGTTGCTAATACAATAGTCATCCCCATGTTCCAAAAATCTTCAATGTCGTTTCCAAAGAAAATCACTCTTCGAAGGGGAAGAATGAATTGTTAATCTAACTTGACTGTCATTTTAGAATATAGACTATAACTGCTGCCAATGTTATTTAGATGTAAAGGAAGAAAACTAATTACTACTACTGCTGAGTGTTGCCACTGTTACTTATTTTAAAGTTTAAATTGTTGTTTCTCCATCATTTATTAGCTATAAAAAAATTCTAAATTTTGTTACTGCATAGAAACATCTCTAAACAAGAAAAATACATTATTTTTTGTATAGGCTGTTGAGAAGGGTCGAGACCCAACACCAAGTGAAATACATTTGTACGTCCATACACATGGGCATGATGGAAAATCTTTTCTTGATGAGAAAGCTCGAATCGTGAAAGTAAGTCCAATATTTTATAATCTTATTTACTACAATGTAAAAAGAGATAGTGAAGCTGCTCTCTATCAACATGTTTGCTTTGTGGCATTTAATAAAAATTTCAATATTTTTTTATCTAATCTGGTAACTACTATCCAATTTGAAATGGGACTTCTTCCTTGAGGTGGATTCCAAAATTAGTGTTTTGTAAGTGGCTTTTGCATTTTTGCTGTTTTTAAAGCTAATGAGTTTGGTACATCCAAAACCAAATTGCATCTAATACTACCAACAATAACGTATCTTTGGTTATGTGAATGAACTTTAGAATAGAGTGGTTTGGAGTTTTGAGATATTTTATCTAAGAAAAACAAAGGGTTGATCCATTAGCTAAATCTTTTGGCTCCCTCCAAATTAATTTTAACGACTTGTTTCTGATAATTATTGGAGTGACAAAAACCAAATCAATAAAGTATTATTTTTCTTCTTTGTTATGCAATGGTAGAAGAAGATCTCAATACCGAGGATAGGACTGTGGATAATCAGAATAAGCCTGCAAATAGGAAGAAAACAGGAACTTGGAAGGTTCTAGCTTAATTTTCCAATATTAGGATGTTGTAGATAAAGATTAGATTATGATTATAGTATCATATAATATTTTGTTGGGACTTTTATCCTCCCATAATTTTGTCCTTGCATATAGCAGCAAATATGAAAAGTTGCATCCTCTCCATTGGTTAATTAAATGCTCAACATTTTTGACTGTTTTAATTTTACTACTTATTACACTTTTTTACAGGAAAGATATCAGGAAATATTATGGGAACAAACACAAACTCGATCTGATATTGACCAATGTAAAGCATATTATGAAGCCGCGAGAGGGGAAAAGAAGAGAAGATTATATGGTCTTGGATCTCAAGCAAAATGCTATTATGAGCCGAATCTTCGTGGTTCTTCTGGATCAGATGCTTCATCATCAATACCACCTTCGAGTACTCAATCAACATCAATAGGGAATCTGGATGAGTTAATGATGCGTTTGATTCCTGCACTAACAGAGCGATGCGTTTGATTCCTGCACTAACAGAGCGCATAGTTATTGTTGGTTTTAGAGATGATTCAAACTTAATTGTAATAGCTATATGCATTTTGATATCATTTTGGACCTTGAAGTATGTTAATTTATATGATCTTTACCTATTATTAAGGATATCTAATAATTTACATTCAAAATGCATGAGCAGAGAAAATTTAAAATAATAAATAAAAAAGATCTAAAAGGGAAAGATATTGCGATAGATTGCGACGGATATTTTTCTTAACAAAAATAAATATATAAAATAATATAGCGACAGATTGCAACCGACGATTTTTGTCTCCAAAAGCAAAGATGAAATGACTCTAAAAATATTTGGCGATGGATTAGCGACCGACTTTCCGTCGCAAAAGTATACCAACGACGAAATGCTTTATGAATTTAGCGACACAATTTGCTAATATGGCGACGAAATTTCTGTCGCTAAATGTAGCAATGGATAGTATTTGTCGCTAAAACGTCGCTATTTGGTGACGGATTCAATTTTTCAGTCGCTAAGAGCTTAGCAACGAGCAAATCAGCAACATAGGAAAAGCAGTCGCTAATCCGGCTTGACGACGAAAAAAAGCTCTTTAGCGACAGATATTGTCCATCGTTAAATGCTGTTTTTTTTTGTAGTGCTAGAATCGGGGCTAGGCTGGAATTGGGTAAGATCGTAGATGTGAGGTGGTTGCCGCATCTGCGAGCCCGTAGATATGGAAGTTAGACCGTAGAAGCGGAATTTGGACGAAAGCTGGGAATTCGCAGATGTAAAGGGTAGATCGCAGAACCGGTCCCACAGGTGCCTGGGACTTAAGTGGTTTTCGCATAAGCAAAATTTTGACCATGAAAGAGGCGTCACAAGTGTGACGGATTGAGCCGCAGGTGTGAGAATTGATGGGCAGAGCATATAAATTAGGGTTTGGTTTTTTATTTCATTTTTGATTTGTGGAGCTCGACTAAGGGCAATTTTTGGGAGACGTTTTGCTGCAATTGAAGAGGTAAGTGAAGTTTAATCACTTTTGATGTTAGATATTGATTACCCTTTGATTATTACACCTAGTTTATGAGAATCGGAAGTGAAATTTGGGGATTTTACACTATGTTGTTGGAGAGTGAGATTCGGTAATTTGGGGGTCGATTTGTTGATAAAATTGGACGAAAATAGTATGGTTGGATTTGTAATTGAATGGGTATTCGAAATTTATAAATTATGTCGGGTTCCGGGGTGTGGTCCTAGGATTGACTTTTTGGGTTGACTTTGCAGATTTGGTTCAAGACTTTAGCTTTATCATTTGGGATTGTTTTCTATGGCTATTATTGATGGTATTAAGTTGTTTTGACTAGATTCGAGTCGATCGAAGACTGATTCACGAGGCAAGGACTTTTTGGAGTATTGATTTGCGCATTATGAGTCAAGTAACATTTCTAAACTTGGATTTGAGGGTAATTATCCCTGGGAACTATGTTATTTGTGATGTTTTGGGGTGACGCACATGCTAGGTGACAGGAGTGTGGGTGTGCACCGGGTAATCATGATCCGAGTTGACTTTTAGAAGATTTCCATACTTGTTTTGTTGTCATATATTGTTATATCCTTCTTCTCCTTACTTATTTTTTCAAAAGTCACAACAGATCTACTATTATATTGAAAACAATAGATTAAAAATGGATCTTTTGATTAGCTTTCAATGTTTGCAAGAGCTTCCAACAAATATAGAAAAAAGAGCCTCTGACAAAGCTGAGAGCGCACGGTCCAGCCAACTGAAAGCCACGCCGAACCTCGATGTCAAATCGAATCTGGCTCAAACCCAATTACACGCTACCTTGGGGAAGAATTACGATGGTTTTAATGGTGCTTATTACTGTATTTTCCAGCTGGGTTCGGCTGTAAGATATTGCTATTTTGGAGCTAGTTTAAAGGTGTTTTGGAGGTGAATTTCATGGATGGTTTGGGGAGGAGAGTTGCTGCATTTTCTCAGCAACTTTGGAGATGAATATTGGTTGTTATGGAGGTGAGTTTTAGGGCAGATTTTGGGGTATTTTAGATCTGGTTTTCAGCTATTTTTGGGATATTTTAGAGGTGTTTTAGGCTGAAATTTGGGGATGGTTTTTGGTGTTGAAAAGATGTGAGTTTATGGTGTTTCATTTTTTCTGAGAAAGAAGAAGAAGACCAGCCGCAGAGACGTTGCTCTTGGCCAAAAAGAGTTTATGGTGTTTCGTCCTCTCTCTATCTCTCTTTTTGTCCGTTTTTAGCCTATGTTTTTCTCTCATTATTCCTGTATCTATGTATGTGTGAGAGGTGAGTGAAGAGAGTGTGGAGGTGAGAGTGAGGAGAGTCTTTTCATGGAGGAAGGTTGTACATTCTCTGTTGTTTGAGCCAGAGGTCCAAGAAAATCCTCAAGGGGAGGAAATGGCGCTGGGCTCCTCCCTACTTATTTGATTATCTAAGCTATGATTTATGTTAGAAATCATGTTTAGGCTACGTGATTATTTAGTTGAGTTCTAATGATACTATCTTTATTGTTTTGGGCTATCCGACTTAACTGTAATTATACACTCAGCCATGATTTTTCATTTACATATCATATTCAATCTATGTTCATCATTCATTGTTGCATTGCATGTTGTTGCTGTTTTCCATATGTGGTACTGTTGGCTGAGTGATATGAGATTGAGAGCCCTTGAGACTTGAGAGGTTGATGTTTGAGGTAGGCCTTAGAGCCACGTGCAACAGGCCATATTGGCTTTGTTGTTATGTGGATCGGGGTGCACGCCACAACATGTCATATTGGATTTTGATTAGCGCTTGGGCAAGATCCACACCTCCGAAGTCTAACATACCAGTAGTGAGTGTAGGCTCAATGATATATTTATATATATTTTTGTGAGGGGCATTAATGTCAAGCATTGGTACAGTGCTGAGTGATTGTGTGTGTGTGTAATAGAGTAGGCATCTGAGAAAGACCTTGAGTACGCTGAGAGTGAGAGAACTTGGAAATACCGTTGTGAAATCATTCATTTGACATACACAATTGACATGTAGACATAGAGACGTATCATTCCTCATGATATCTGGTATATAAATTGTACTTATCAGTGTTGGGCTTTAGATGTTATACACGGAAGCATATCTAAATTCCTGTAATATAAACGAGCTGATTATAATAATTCCTTTGAATTACTTATTGTTACTGTCATCATTATTCCTGTGTTGTTATTAATATTTGTTTCTGACTGTCTTCTTCTGAGCTCATCACTGCTTTCACCCCAAGATTAGCTTTAATACTTATTGAGTACATGAGATGGTTATACTCAATACTATACTTTGCACTTCGTGTGCAGATCCAAGTACATCTGGACGTGGTGATTGCATCATTGTCGTGCAGAGTTGTTATTTTCAAAGTTTGAAACTTGACTCTTCTATTCTCTCACAGATGGTGAGGACATGATAATAGGTGAATTTAACTATATTCAGACCCTAAATAACCGCATTCTTGCATAGTTTTGATAATAAAAGTGATAACAAAATGCTTTTATTAGTGCTTTTCATGACTTGCAAGTTATATATGACTAGGGAAGGCTAGGGAGTACTTTTGGAGTCAAAAATTGAAAAATGAGAGGCCATCCGTGAAATATCCCAAGTGAACCACGCAAAAACAGGTTGAAGAATCAGAGAAATGATTCTGCCGCGGTTCCACTGCGACCGCGGCAGAACCACGGTGAAGACTGCTCGCAGACAGAAGGAGATTCAGAGGAGCTGTTTGGCCATGGTTCCACCGCGACCGCGGCAGAACCGCGGCAGGCGCGAGAAAGTTCAGGGACTAAAGTGCAAAACACGGGATTTTTAGCCCAAAACCCTATTTTAAACACTAGACTCCGCCCAAGAGAGGCATGTATTGTTTTGGAGAGTATTTTTGGCAAGAAGAACAATTGTGAGAGATCACCCAAAACATCTTTCTTCTTTTCTTTGATTTTTATTGCTAGTTTATGATGAATCTTATCTTAGTTTGTTTACCCATAGTTATGAGTAGCTAAATCCTTTGTCTAAGGTTTTGATGGAACCTATTGGGGGATGAACTTCTTGTTTATGTGAATACAAATTGCTAGTTTCAATCTTTATTTGTTCAATTATGTTGTTGTTGTAGTTAATTGACAGGATCCTCAATTAGCTGTGCCTATTTAGTGTGCATAACTCGGGA